ACGCTGGCTGCTGCAAATTCGATGTGCTTCTGCGTGCGTTCGTATATCGTCCTGCCGTTTTTCTGCATAGCTTGCCTCCATCTGTCACGTTTTAGTACTCCCTCAGGGGTCAGTTTCTTATGTATTCTGCAACAGGGAGGACCACGATGTTGGCTGCGACACCTGCCTCTCGAGAATGCGGCACAGACCACGCTATGCTGCTGTTCCCTAGTAGGGCCCTTGGATGACCTCCTGTCGCCCTTGGGCCCCAGAGTAACGATGGCCTGTCTCCGATGCCCTCACCTGTCCCTCTGTCGTGCTTCTCCGAAACGGGCGGCGTCGCAGGGGCCGCTGGGGGTTTCTCGCGCTCCTCGCGTCTGAACGGGCACCCCTGCTTCTTGCGCAACAGAAACCATCCTGTTCCAAATGGCTGCAAAGGACATATATCTTCAGCTTTCCACTCTTCATTTCGGGAGCGGCCAAGAGGGGGGGGTCCAAGAGGAGGGGGTGCAAATCATGACCGGCGGCACGTGCGCGGCCCAGCGGGGGGGTCAGGGACGCAATGAAATGAGGAGAGACGCCCTAAGATCTGGGGAGATATCATGGCCCACGCCATGATATCCACCCCCCTTAATCATCACCCCCCCCTTTGCCGCCCCCGGTTTCTTCAGCTTTCCGCTCTTCGTTCTGCCTTCGACTGGGCCTGGGGTGGCGGGCGCAGGGCCGGGAATGCACATCTGATCGAAGGCTTTCTTACGACACTCAAAGGTCGCAGTCGTTTTATCTCCTTCCCATAGCCTTCTGCACCTGCCAAAGTAGCCACTCATACGTCTTCACATCTGGTCCGATTGGGCCGCTGCACACGCCGTAGGACGCGATGGCCCAGTTCATTTTGGGAACCAACTTCATCCGGGAAAATGCCCATGCCTAGCTGCTGCGACTTCCAGAAATGGGCCTGAGCCAGGATATAAATCACTGCACAAACCTATCCGTTCATTACAGAACTAGTACAGATCCTCATCTGGCTTGCTTTCACTGATAACAAGATTGAAAGGTCCCCCACTACCACGTTCCTGCCACATTCGGCACGCATGGAGAGCCATCGACACGTCAGGCGTACCATCTCACGGCCAGTATGCAAACAAGATCCACTGCGTGCCTCAACTCCCGTTCGAGACACCTGAGCTATGAGATAGACCCGATGAGGAGCCATACACTTCTTCTGTCTCAGCTTGGCAAACTGCTCGGTGAGATCAGAAGCCATGAGCATGTCGATACGTTCATAGTTGCCAGATGTCCGTTGAACTGTCGCATCGACCTCAGGGCCCATGGCTAGTGCAATCCACGGCATAGTACCTAGCGCACCTGACAAAGCTGATGAAATTACCATGGTTGACTACCTACCAGACCACCCCAACCCAACCCGAAGACCCGAATTTCGGATGGGGGGGGGTACGGGTTCCATATGTGCTTTCTCGATGTTCCACGACCCCCCCCACTGGAAATCGAGGATAAATTGGGGCCTTCGGGTTGGGTTGGAGTGTTTTGGTGGGTGGTGAATGGTAGCGTCACGCGGTGCATTCGCATCGGGGAATGGCATCAACTGAAACTTCGACGCTTTGCTTACCTGCCTCCAGAGCTCCATGGGATCAATTGCATGGCCCTTGGCCATCCGCATAACCGCCCCCTCCACGGTCGCCATCCCCCCCGGGAGGCCCACTCCCGCCACCGCCTCCCTCGCCAGCTGGTCTTCTGACGCAGTAGGCAATTTGACTCGGGATTCTTCGATCGGTTTACGGAATTCGGGGAATGTCGGGATCGCCTTGCACGGTCGCCCCGCCTGCTCTGACTGCATGTGTTCTACTCCTACCAGGTCAGATGGTTTGGCCACATTTCCACTTGCATCATCACCCTTGGCTTTCTCCCATACCTCGAGTCCCCTACACAGGTTCATCAGGATCTCATTTTGCTCTCGGGGCCATCTGGCGACCCCCTGAGCCCATCGGGGAGCGCCCCTGGGTCGCTCCGGGCGCTTGGGGGCGCTCACGAGCGGTTTTTTTTGGAACGGCCTCTGGGGCCGTCTTGGGGCCATGTTGGGGCTCTCGGCCCGATCTCGGCGCTCCCTGAATGCGCCCCGAAGCGTGGTCGAGCCGCTTGGAGGCACGCTGGGCCATCTTGGGAGCCTCCTGGGCCATCTTGGAGCCCTCCTGGGTGGTTGTAGGATTTTTTCCGGATCCTCTTGGACGGGCTTGGAGCGTTCAGGAGAGCCCCAGCAGCCGTCTCGGGCCAGTTTTGGCTCGAAATGGCGAGAGAGTGGAAATCATTGAACAACCATAGGAAATCAATGACGTCGTTTGATGCGGCCCGTCTGGACGGCCTCTGTGAGAAGGATGTTGGGCCGTCTCGGAACTCTCTGTGAGCCCTCTTGAGCGGCTCTTGGGGCCCGTTTAGGGGCTCCCTGGGGCTCTCTCGCGCCGTCGGGCCGTTTTGGGCTCCTCCAGGAGCCGTCTTGGAGCCCTCCGGGAGCCGTCTTGGGGCCCTTGCAGGAGCTCTTGGGCAGCCCTGCAGCGTTCTGGAGGGGCCCGGAAGCCGTCGCGGGCCGTTCTGAGCTCGAAATCGCGAAACCTGAAAATCACGCATCAATGATTTTTGGCCGCCGCGCCGCGCGGCGTCTGGACGGCCTCATGGGCTGTCAGTCTTTTTTTGTTGCAAGGCCTCTCTAATCCCTGAATCAGGCGAACCGGTCGCTGGTACTCCGCAGTGCTTGAGGAAATTCAGCCACACTGCTCGAATGACGTATGTATGCAACTGCATTGCACTGAACTCTGCCAGGCAAAGCCCGCCGCGCTGGGGGAAGGTGCTCACGCGACGCAACGCTGCTCTGTGAAACTTCAGATCTAACACTCTGATCAAGCAAAGCGTGCCATGAATCACGATCCGCTGCACGCTCCAAGCGCAGCCACGCGTTTGGTTACACATCCGAGCTGCGCGGCAGCTCGAGGTGGGAAACCCAACCTCATTTGGGAGGTTAGCATTATAACGGAAAGAGACCCAATCAGAGGATGGTTTGAAAATTAGGGCCTCATGGGCTGTCATGGGGCCGTGTTGGGGCTCTTGGGCTGTCTCGGAGCTCTCCGCGAGCACCCTTGGGCGGTGCTTGGGGCCCGTTTGGGGGCTCCTGGGGACGTCCTCGCGCCGTCTTGGGGCTCTCTTGGGCCGTCCTGGGCTCCTCCAGGAGCAGTCTTGGAGCTCTCCTGAGCCGTCTGCCTGGGGCCCTTGCTGGAGCTCTTGGGTGGGGTTCGGGGGGGCCCCAGGACACGTCTCGGGCCACTCTGGGCTCGACATCGCGAGAACCTGAAAATCAAGGGAAACCATGGGAGAATCCATGATTTCTGGCCGCCGCGAGCGGTCTGGCCCGCCTCTGGGGCCGTCCCGGGGACCACCTCGGCCCGATCTCGGCGCTCCCGGAAGGCGCCCCGAAGCGCACTCGAGCCGCCCAGAGGCACGCCGGGTCGCGCGGGGGGCGCCAGGGGCCCACCGAGGCCGCGCCGGGGGCCCGCCGAGGCTGATTTTAGGCACGTGATCTGTTTCCTGTCCCGCCCACACGAGGAGCCACCAGAGGCGCACCTGCTCCTGCACTTCCACTTCGGCACCGCCTGCACCCCAGGCTTCGCCCACTCGGGCCGCCTGAGGCCCCGCCTTCCTGTGCCCTGTCCCCCCAATTAAAGCTGTGCGTAGCCCGCCTAGCTTTTAGCGGTAGAGGTTCGCTCTCGCCCCGCAAACAAAAATTAGCCTGGCGAAAGACCCAACCATACGCAGTTGTGACTACCGCAATTGTGAATAGCATCTTCGCCCGCGCTCCCGATGTAGCCACAACTTCCCGCCGGAGCCCGACATGCTCAGGGACACGTTCGTGGCCGTCTTCGCGGGCGCCGACGACGACGAGGACGGCGCCCCCCTGACCGAGGAGCAGAAGCAGGAGAGGGCTCTAAGAGCCATGAGGGAGGCTGCCACTGGGGCCTTCGGTGGAGCTCCTATGGGGCCACGATCCTCGTGAGGGGTGTGCCGAAATGGCCCGAGGCCGCCATGCGAACGCAGCCACTGGAGCCTTCGGTGGAGCTCCCTAGGGGGCCACGATCCTCGTGAGGGGTGTGCCGAAATGGCCCGAGCCGCCATGCGAACCCTGCCACTGGCGCCTTCGGTGGAGCTCCGTATGGGCCACGATCTTCGTGAGGGGTGTGCCGAAATGGCCCGAGGCCGCCATGCGAACCCTGCCACTGGCGCCTTCGGTGGAGGCCACGATCCTCGTGAGGGGTGTGCCGAAATGGCCCGAGGCCGCCATGCGAACGCTGCCAATTGGGCCTTCGGTGAAGCTCCCTATGGGGCCACGATCCTCGTGAGGGGTGTGCCGAAATGGCCCGAGGCCGCCATGCGAACGCAGCCACTGGAGCCTCCGGTGGAGCTCCCTATGCTGTACTGGGTGTGCCGAAATGGCCCGAGGCCACCATGCGAACGCAGCCACTGGAGCCTTCGGTGGAGCTCCCTATGGGGCCACGATCCTCGTGAGGGGTGTGCCGAAATGGCCCGAGGCCACCATGCGAACGCAGCCACTGGAGCCTTCGGTGGAGCTCCCTATGGGGCCACGAAATGCTGTACTGGGTGTGCCGAAATGGCCCGAGGCCACCATGCGAACGCTGTACTGGGTGGGTGAAACGCAGGGAGGAGAGGGGAGGAGGGGGAGGAGGGGGAGGAGAGGAGGAGGAGGAGAGGAGGAGAGGAGACGCGGGCCACCGTCTCTTCAAAACGAGGACCCAACACCACAGGATGGTTGGGAAAAACTGTTTCCTTTCCCGCATGCGCTATCCCCCGACCATGTGGGAAGGACTAATACAAACCCGTGGATTCCATTTTTCTTCTCGCAGCCCAGGGGGACATCCGGGAGTACGCGGGAGCGGGAGCATGCGAACACAAGGTATCGTTGAATTCAATCGCCAGCTCTGACAGGCTCGTGCTGTGACGGCCTCACGCACATTCGGACTGGTGACTTTGACCTGCGGCGCTCAAGGCGCAGAGAGCGCCGTGGCAGAGAGCGCCGTGGTTTCGCTCTCTCAATTACACCCTGGCGGCAGAGCGCACTACACGACGCAAGCGGACAATAACGATAGCATGGCGCTGCACTGTGCTTGCTGGAGTCCAAGCGGAAGAACATAAACATGCGAGGGGGCACGCGGCAGACCCAATGACCGAGCACACGGGACTGGGAGGGACCACGCGGCAGACCCAATGGGAGAGCCCGGAGCCACGGTTTGCTGAACCTGGGACTCGCAAATCGTAAGTTTAGTCCACAGCACAGGGCGTCGAAGCCGAACAGATCGTGGAGCTCGTGGAGAGGACGGGGGGGGACAAGAATGAAGGTGGAGGACCTCAGGGAGCCGGGACAGGGGGCTGTTTCGAATGTCCTGAAGGGGTCCGTGCTACCTGGGACTGGTCCCTGGAGGGACCTCGCGATCGCGGGCCGTTTGGCGAGCCACCGAGGACTCCGCGTGGAAGGTGCCCCTGCCTGCTCGGCCGAGAGGAGCAGGGGGGAAGAAATCCGGGGAGAAGACTCCCCCCTGTCACCCGTAATCGAACGAAAGTGGGGAGCGAGACTTGCGGGCCGGCGCAAGGAGGTTCGAGCAACGGCGACAGGGTCTCCTGGCTGGGCACGGTCTGATTTTTCAGATCCGCCGCAATTGTCGGCGCCTGTCGTACGACTCCGGGGCATCCCGGAGTGGTCCTGGGACTGGTCAGAGTCTCACGGGCGACTCCGAGGCACCCTGGAATGGTCTGGGAATTGCTTCAATGAGATTCAGGAGAACTGTGGAGCTCTCTTCTTGGGACCGCTCGGGACAGGCCCGCGCGGAATCTCGGAAGCTCTCGGCAAGTGTCAGCAACTGCGCGGGTGATTTGGGGCACGTCGGGAACCTGGATTCTGGAGAGATCGAAACCAGATGAGCCCGAAATCCCGGTTCCTGGCTTTGTCAGGAGCGCCGCCCCCGCCCCCGCGAATGCCGACCGCCTGGATGGCCGGAACCAGGATTTTGGAGAGATCGAGCTTGGTCCCTCTGTGTCCATATGTGTCCCTATGTGTCCCTCTGCGTCCCTCTGTGTTCATATGTGTCTCTGTGTGTCCCTGTGTATCGCTTTGTGCCCCCCTGTGTCACTAGGTGTCCCTCTGCGTCTCTCTGTGTTTCTCTGTTCCCCTGTGTCCCTCTGTGTCCCTGTGTTTGCGTCGATATACGTCCCTCTGTGTCCCTCTGCGTTTTTCTGTGCTTCTCCGTGTCCATTTGTGTCCCTCTGTGTCCCCCTGTGTCTCCCTGTGTCTCTCTGTGTCTATCCACGTTGTTTTTGCTGTTTGCGTTTTCGCTTGGTCGAATCAGTTTTTCGCTTGAACGAATATGATTTTCGGTTGGACAATCTACCCCCCACCTCGCCCGACCACCCCCCTTGCCTGGGATCCCTGTTTTTGAAACCCCCCACCCGACAATTTCTCGACCGGAACTGACCCTGACCCCCAACAAGGTCTCCACCTCGCCCGATCCCCATCACCCCCTGGGAGCTCTGCTCTTGGGACCCCCAACCCGACCATTTCTCGCCCGGTACCGACCCTGACCTCCCGCCAGTTCCCCACCTCGCCTGACCCCCCACCCCCTGGGAAGTCTGTTCACGCGACCCCCCGCCTGACAATTTTTCACCCGGAACCGACCCTGGACTACCAACCAGGTCTCCACCTCGCCCGACCCCCCCACTCCCTGGGAGCTCTTCCTTGGGACCCCCCACCGGAACCGACCTCGCCCCCCGTGCCCCACACTTCTCCCCCCCTCACTTGTACTATCCTAACCCAGCCTAACCTCCAGAGAACGTCTCACGGGCCCTACGAACTCTGCATCACATTGGCTCTTCCTCTTCAGCCCCATCCATCGTCACTGCCGCTTCACAAGCGTCATCCTTTACGCCGTGCCTTCACCATCGCCATCACGCTCGATTTTGCCATCCTCTTCTCTCCCTGGCGCTCAGTGGCGCCACGCAAATTACAAAGCCGGGTGCCCTTTGGCTTCCGGGCTGGCCCCCCGCTCAACAAAGAGCTGAACTCTTCCTCGCTTTCCTGCTGCTTGCACCCGATGCACTTCCACAGGCCGCGTCTCATTCCTTTCGCAACCACGCAAACATGGCACTTCCGCTCCGCGTCTCCCACGCCCGTCCACATCCGCCCAGAGAACTCGCCTTCTTCCTTCGAAGCTTCGCAGACGACACACCACTTCGTCGTTTTCTTCGCCATCTGCACCTGCGAGAACGATGGGTACTTCTGCCCCGCGTCCGACACGCCCTCCCACATCCACGATCAAAACCCGCTATCCGACATCTCCCCCTTGCATACGCTACGCCATCTAGCGTCGGCCCGCCGGGCCTTCGCCCGCGCGGCCCCCCCTCGGCTTCTCTCTCAACGCGCCCGAAACAGCCCCGGTCCGCGGCCGCTGAATTCGACTGCACGAAGCCAGAAAGTTCGTGTTCAGGCTTCGCGACTTCGCACCGCCACGCCACAACTTCTTCGACTCTTCTGACTGCGCCACCTCTTCCTTCACTTTCCCACTGTTTCCCTGCACTTCGCGCATTGCCGCTTTTCGCTGCGAACGTCTGCTTTCAGGCAATCACTCGCCGGCTTCTCCTCTGCGCAGCGGAGACGCTTCAGGGGTCTCTTCAGCTCTTCGCACTCCGCCCCGCGCACATCCGCCCCCTACATCGACTGCCCCCTGCCCGCACCCATCGATAACTATTGCGCGAGCGCACCTTCGCATTTCCGACACTCGCAAGGGGGGCAATGCCTTTGCTCTGGGCAGCCCACGCATCGCCACGACGACAACTTCGACGAGCGGCGCCGGGGCGCGCGGATGGCATCCTGGCCTTTCCAGGCACCGCAATCCACGCGCTGCCACGGCGCGCCCACATTCGACGTCGCCGTCGTCGTCGCCAGACGAGGGAGAAGGAGAACAGGGGAAGAAAAAGGCACGGGGGGAGACCCAATCACGCTCGCGTCGCGGAAACAAGAACCCAACGGGAAATGTTTCAACGTCGTCCGCCACTGGGCAAGCCCCCGGGGTGGACCTCGGAAAAGTCATCGAGACTCGGAAACGTCATCGGGGCGGACATCCAACGGCCGCCCGGGCCCCGGCACGCAAAGAGACTCAACGCCGCAAGTCCGAGGGCAGAAAGGCACGACGCAATGGAGGAGGGGGGGGGACTTGAGGAGGGCCAGACGGACGAAATGGAGGATGAGGAGGACGGGCAAGAATCGGGCAATCGACGCCGGGAGCGCGCCGAGCAACGCAGGCGCTCCACTCCGCTGACTCCGGCGCGCCAAGGTGCACGGGCGCGCGAAAAATGCGCCCACCCCCCCACCACTCCCCCCGGAGACTGGCCCGACGAAACGACGGGCGAGCAGAGGCCGAGGGCCCCCCGAGCCGCGAAAATGGCGCGACCCCCTCGCCCCCCCAAAAGCGCGGGGAATTGTCCAACCCCCCTCGGGGCGACTAGCGCCAGAGCCTCCGCGATTCCCATGGGCCACGTCTGGGGGGCCGCGGCGAGCGAGGACCTTCCCGCGCTTCCGCGACGTTCAATTTGACGTCGCTGTTCGATCTCGAGAGCCTCGGCGCTCAAAGCTCCAAACGAAGCGTCGGCGCTCCTGCGTTCGAAATGTTGGGCGTCACCGTTTGCTCTTGGGGCGTCTCGTGAAATGCACCTGAATGCATGTGAAGGGCCTCTTGCAGACCGCGCAAGGGTCTTATCGGCCAATGTCGGGCCCCCTTGGGCCGCCCCCGAAGGCCCCACGAGAAAATTCGCAAGACTTCTTCGGGGTCGGCGGCAGACGCGGCAGCCTTTAAATACTGCCCCACCGCCTGGAACTCCACCGCTCCAACAGGCCCCCCCAGCGCCCGAGCCCACGCGGCCCCGGCAAGCAGAACCGCACGGCGCCCTGCGCCGCGACCGGGAACAGCAGGAACAGCGCCCCGCAAGCAATCCCCACGCCACTGGCCGCACAGCATGACCTCCAGCGCCAACGCGAGACCAGCGGGCCGACGAGGACGGGGAGGGCGCGCTCCACGGCATCCAGTAACGCTTCCAAGAACAACGCCCTCTATGTCAAAGCCTACCATCACGCGCGCCGCGCGCAAGACCAGGCCTCCAACGAAGCGCCCGCGCCCCCGCGCTGGTCTACATTTCGACCCCCCGAAACCTGCGCCAAGGAAAGCGCGGCGACTGCGCGCGCGGCGGCCAGCGCACATCCGCGCCGACGCCCCGCGACACCCGCGACCGAACCACCTCGCAGTCGCGGCCGCCGAGACGTCTGAAGGACAGAGAATGCCCGCAATGCACCGCACGAAAGCGCCCCCCTCACACCGCGAGCGCGCCACCGCAACCCCCCGCGCCATCGCCGGCTTCTCCGCGCGCGGCGGGAACGCCCCCGGCACGACTAAGACGCGCGCAACGCGCGCAGCCACGCCACCCGCGGCCCGCGCAGCCGGAGGCGCCGATGCGACGCGGGGCGCGACGGCGGCGCGAGCAGAACGCGCAGGCGGGGCTTCCCACCCAGATTCCTCGACAACCTCCTCCAGATGACATCGCGCTCTGCGCGCCCGCCTTCGCGCAGCGCCCGCACTGCGCACATGTCCGAAGCCGAAGCCACAACCGGCAATGTAAATTCATCGCGCGAACCCGGAGCCCCCGCGAAGAAATCGCACGAATCCTGACCACCCGCCAATAATCGACAGACCCCCTGCCTCCGCGCCCAACGACGAAATTGCAAAATCCCCGGCCACCCGCAAAATTTTCGCGAGAGCCCACGCCTCCCCAAAAGAATAATGGGAGCCCCGGCCCCCCGCAAAAATTACGGCGAATCCGAACCGCCCGCGAACAAATGCCCGGGGATCTGCCGACAAAAATTCCCCGAATCAGAACCGACTGCGATAGATGCGCAGGAACGCTTGCCCCCGCGAGATACCCCGCGAGAACATGGCGAGAGCCCTAGCCTTCCGCGAAAAATTATCGAGAAGCCCTGGCCCCCCGCTAGAGCCAAAAGCTTCCGCAACACATTCGCGCAAGCCTGGACCTCCGGCGAAAAGTTTGCGAGAGCCCTGATCCCCCGCGAACAAATCGCCAGAATCCCGCCACCCGCGAAAAAATCGGAAGTTCCCCAGGCCCCGGCGAGAAAATCACAGGGGCCCCAGCCCCCTGCGAAAAAGCCGCGAAAATTCTGGCCCGCCGAGAAATCACCGCGCCGCGGCCCCCCCCGAAAGATTCGCGCACCCCTGCCTCCCGCGACAAAGTCGCGAGACTCCGGGCGATCCGCACTTCCGCGCAACATTCGCGCGTTCACACCCCCATGCGCCCCCCTGAATTGACGGGAAACCCGGCCCCCGAAGAAAATGCGAGAGTCCGCGGCCCCCGCGAAAAATTCACGCGGGCCCCGACCTCCCGCGCATCGCTCGCGAGAGAGCCCCCCTCGCATCTGCCCCCTACCCTTCGCCCCCGCCCCCGCCTCCGGAGGCGAACGCGCCTCCACGCGCGAGGATCTGCACCCGCGGAAAGGGCGCCGGCGGTAAACCACCTATCAAAGTTCTGCATTTCGCAAAGCCACAGACCTGACTTCAGGCCCGCTCGCGTCTCGCCATGCCAGCCCGAAACTCACGCGGCCACCAATTACCGGCGCTTGCAGACTGACGCCCAGCCGACGCAATTGCGCAAAAGGAGGACGGAGGCGGGAACAGAAACGGAAGGGGAGAGTCAAAAACAAGCGCAGACCAGCAAGGGAAATTGTTTGGAAAAAATGGCAGGAAAACAAATACGCAAAAAAACTCAAAGGTAAGACAACCAGCAACATTGCGCGGAAGAGTTAAGAATAAGAACAAAGATGAACAGAAACGAAAAGTACTCAGAGGCAGCCATCACCAGAGGCAGCAACACCTCTCTGAGCTTGTAGATCAAATCTGATTGCGACCATCCCAAGTGCGCGGGCGCGGCCGCGAAGACCCCAAGCGCGCACGGGACGACATCTGCTGCAAGTCTACACAGCACCGATGCCAGCAAAGTCCCAGCCGACTCGTAGACCAATCAGTCACATAAAGGTTAAAGAAAAAGAGACTAAGGGCACATGCATCAGCAACGCGTTATCCACCTTCGGTCGAATCACGAATCTGCCCCCTGGACCGCTTCCACTTCTCCACTGCTTTGAAGCTGCTGAACCACTGGCCCGCTGCTTGCTTCGTCGCGATTTGCGCTCACCTCACGATAACTCGCGCCCACTCTTGAGAAGGGACCGACCGTCCCAGCATTCCTAGTCCTAAAACGAAATGTTCTTAGAACCCAAAAATGTTCTACGAACAAAATCAGAGCCCTTAGAACATTAACCCGATGTGTTAAACCAAGACAGCCCCAACAAGAATTGTTCCAAGAACATGTCGTGGAAACCACAAAAGGTTCTGGGAACATTGTTTGGTAGGGCTACAGGCGAGCCAGGACGCTTCGCCACTGCTTGACACACGCCAATGGAGGCCACAATATCATCCAGGGCCAGGCGCACCTCCCGAGCGTCTACCCAGGATGAACCTTCACCAAAATCGCACGGCAGAGTCGTTCCATGTCTTGGAAAGAAAGGCGGGCATTCCTACAACTCATATCCTGCCATGCCCCGGCCGATCCCGCGGACATCCATTGACGAACGAAGTCGGTAATATACCGATGCCCATGCCACTGAGAAGCGTTATGTTAAAAGGTCGGAACCGATCGCTTGAACGAGCACCGCTCCGCCTAAGAACCATGGGCCTCAGAAGAGCTTGGATCGACAGCAACAAATGATAACGACGGTGATAGGCGAGCGTCGATGTCGAGCCACTTCGCCGCGATCTGGCAACGAGCCTGCCACCACCGCAGCGCGCTGCCACCCGTAGCGCTCTGATGGGGCAATGGTAAGACGAGTTCGGGCTGCTCGCAACTCACTCCAGCATCTTCAGTCTGACATATGCGCAGCGTCATTTGAGGCAACATTGCATGTGACATCAGAATCTGCCGCGGAAGAAGCCCCCCCCCCCCCCCCACACACCTCCTTCGAAGCTACAACTCTCGAAGAAGCACGCTCAATAACAAATTTGCGACGCGAAAAATCCCCCCGGCTCTGTCGAGGACACGCCCTTCGAAGAGACAGGATCCATCGATATCGAAACCCGCGAGGCAACATGCGAAGCAACAGATTTTCTCTGAACTGCTTGTAGCCACATTTGGAGATGCACTCGTTGAGCGCGACGCAACACTTAGATAAGCACTGCGTGCACTCGCCTCCTTCGA